TCCCTTTTTCTTTGACTCAGCATGGGTTTCATCATAGGTAGCATCCATAGTGTCTCCTTTTCCTTCTGTCACCTTTGTTATACTGAGGAAGATTTACTGATTGTGAGTATTCTGTCCACTTGTATGAGAGTGTGTGTGTGTATGTGTGTTTCATTTAAGAGAAAAGGAATAAAATGAAAAAAAGACAGGGCAGAAGAGATTACCTGTTTCAACTTCCCTTCTGTTTTCATTGTTCCCATCAACAAACTTTCTTTAAAACATCTAGACTTCAGTGACATCCTTCAGGCACATAGGGAAGTATTGGGAGCCTTGGCCTTGTTTTGTAGAGATATACACTGCTCAGAAATAGGCTGTGGTGGAAATGGATAATGAGGGAGGGAATTCACTGGGGCCCTAGGAGTGAGAAGGTTCAGAGAGGAAATGAGTGAAGAAATACATAACAGGGACACTCAGCCTGAGAAATAGCTCTGAGATTCACAGATCTCTCTCTGCTTACAATGTCATGCACAGACTAGAGAAATCCTCACCAGTAGCTTGGAGCAGGGGCAGTGTCCCTACTCCCATTGCCAGTTGAAAGGAAACGTGGAGCTTTCAGAAGATCAGATCTTATGCTCCCAACCACAGGGGAAAGAGGTATGTTATTGATATTCTCACGTCATCTGCAAAGTGAAAGGAGGCTCAGACTCTTTGTAATATGCCATATTTCAGAAACTGTGAGAGTTTAAGAAATGTTTAGAGCTCAATCCTTCTGGATCTGCCTGTATACATTTTTGTATGTTAAGTGAAATATTAGTCACATTTCTTTTGTAGTTATACATTATCTTTTTAAATATATATGCTATAAAGTAGACTGAAATCCAAATTTGGTCTAATGGTGATTCTCATTATAGCTTTGCATGAAGTAGATGCACTTATTTCACTGGAAGTTCTCTCAATTATTTAGACCATTGTTAATTGGATTTTGGTGATCTGGAGGTAGTGATAAAATAATTGAACCTCAAATCTATTAACATTATTTTTGCTTATGTACCATTTTCTGTATAACTGGTCAGAATAAAATGATCTGAAATAACTTTTGTATTTTTTTATTTTTGGCCAGTGAAACCAGAAACAACAGCTATATGAAATAATTGGGACTATTGGTAAATATAATGGCATCGATACTCTGAACACAACCAAGAGTTTCTACCTTTATCAGGGCAGATTTAGACCTTAGATGAGAGCTGGGTAGAATTGTCAGACCATTGAATGGATTAGTTTCCCTGCTTTGTGTCTCATTTTTATAAGAAGGATATTCAGTATCAGTAGTAAAGTTCATGCTTGCTTTTCCAAATGGGGAGATTTTTGTGCTGCTTGGAGTAGTCCAGTACTATTCTACTCTGCTGCTCAGTTCAGTCCAATTCAGTCGCTCAGTCGTGTCTGACTGTTTGCAACCCCATGAATCGCAGCACAGCAGGCCTCCCTGTCCATCACCAACTCCTGGAGTTTACTCAAACTCATGTCCATCGAGAAGGTGATGCCATCCAGCCATCTCATCCTCTGTCATCCCCTTCTCCTCCTGCCCCCAATCCCCCCAGCATCAGGGTCTTTTCCAATGAGTCAGCTCTTCGCATGAGGTGGCCAAAGTATTGGAGTTTCAGCTTTAGCATCAGTCCTTCCAGTGAACACCCAGGATTGATCTCCTTTAGGATGGACTAGTTGGATCTCCTTGCAGTCCAAGGGACTCTCATGAGTCTTCTCCAACACCACAGTGCTAAAGCATCAATTTTTCAGCACTCAGCTGTCTTCACAGTCCAACTCTCACATCCATACATGACCACTGGAAAAACCATAGCCTTGACCAGACGGACCTTTGTTGGCAAAGTAATGTCTCTGCTTTATAATATGCTGTCTAGGTTGGTCATTACTTTCCTTCCAAGGAGTAAGCATCTTTTAATTTCATGGCTGCAGTCACCATCCGCAGTGATTTTGGAGCCCCCGAAAATAAAGTCTGACACTGTTTCCACTGTTTCCCCATCTATTTGCTGTAAAGTGATGGGACCAGATGCCATGATCTTAGTTTTCTGAATGTTAAGCTTTAAGCCAACTTTTTCACGCTCCTCTTTCACTTTCATCAAGAGGCTTTTTAGTTCCTCTTCACTTTCTGCCGTGAGGGTGGTGTCATCTGCATATCTGAGGTTATTGATATTTCCCCCGGCAATCTTGATTCCAGCTTGTGCTTCCTCCAGCCCAGCGTTTCTCATGATATATTCTGCATATAAGTTAAATTAGCAGGGTGACAATATACAGCCTTGATGTACTCCTTTTCCTATTTGGAACCAGTCTCTTGTTCCATGTCCAGTTCTAACTGTTGCTTCCTGACCTGCATACAGGTTTCTCAAGAGGCAGGTCAGGTGGTCAGGTATTCCCATCTCTCTCAGAATTTTCCACAGTTTGTTGTGATCCACACAGTCAAAGACTTTGGCATAGTCAGTAAAGCAGAAATAGATGTTTTTCTGGAACTCTCTTGCTGTTGCGATGATCCAGCAGATGTTGGCAATTTGATCTCTGGTTCCTCTGCCTTTTCTAAAACCAGCTTGAACATCTGGAAGTTCACAGTTCACATATTGCTGAAGCCTGGCTTGGAGAATTTTGAGCATTACTTTACTAGCGTGTGAGATGAGTGCAATTGTGTGGTATTTTTAGCATTCTTTGGGATTGCCTTTCTTAGGGACTGGAATGAAAACTGACCTTTTCCAGTCCTGTGGCCACTGCTTGTAGTTGTTATTCTTTTGACCCAGAAAGAGGAAATGCCATAGTGTATATTTAGTGAGTGAGACCTGCTTCTCCAGTTCTTTCATGTTGGTCCCAGTTACAACAATATTGCCTCCCTGGAATGCCAGAGAAGTGAAGGAGTGCACTGACTTGTGTCCCCACTGGTACATCTTCAGCTGAGGGCTTTGCTTGCTGGGTATATGTGTAGGGGCTCTTCAGAGGTCTACTTTGGGTCATCTATCCCTGATAGTGGATGAATGTCAATTCACAGCTCTGACTATCCCTGAAGATTCAAATAACTTTCGTCGTGATTTCAGAGTACCTTCAGCCATTTATGAGCTTCCCTTGTGACTCAGCTGGTAAAGAATCCACCTGCAATGCGGGAGAACTGGGTTTGATCCCTGGGTTTGATCCCTGGGTTGGGAAGACCCCCTGGAGAAGGGAAAGGCTACCCACTCGAGTATTCTGGCCTGGAGAATTCCATGGACTGTATAGTCCGTGGAGTTGCGAAGAGTCGGACAGGACTGAGCAGTGTACTTTCACTTTCGCTTTCAGCCATTTTTAATGAATCGGCTCCTTTATTCCTTCGGTTCAGAAGTTCCACAGGCACCTTTCCCAGTCCTGTTTTTGTTGTTATTTTGTGGAGGGAAGGCATAGAAAGTTTCTGCAAACCTTGTCTGGAATCTGGAACTGTCACAATATCTGTGGGTAAATAGCCCCCCAAAGTAGCAGCTTAGCCTGTGCTACTCTCTTGGGATCATTCCAGCCTTTGAGATATGGATGGGAAGATTTGGACCCATGATTATCATTATTTGGCTCTTTAAAGGAAGACTCTGATATCTTTTTAAAGATGTCTAAAAACTGTAGACATCTGGGTAACCCATAAAATATGGAAGTTTGAACACTCTTCAAAGCTTCCAAGTCACAGAGCTCTAATGTAAATTCCCCCCTTCACCCCCAGGTGTGAATATTTTAGTAGCCTGTGTCCTCATTGTAGTAAAACTTTTCCCCAAGAGTTGATATTTCTTAGTTAAAGTACCTTAGAGGATATAGTTGACTCATGGAATCTCTACTGAGCAAACTTCAGCTCATGTTTGCATAGTAATTTACAAAGATATAATAATTAAAAGATTGGATGTAATATATGTTTTTGTCCTTAACATTAAATCATTTTTAAATTTTTAAAATTTTTTAAAATTTAAGCTTTACAGTTTTTTAAAATTTTAAAGACTTGTTTTTAAAAATTTTTTAAAGCAGACTTGATTTTTAGAAACAGTTTTAGATTTACAGAAAAATTGAGAAGATAATGCAGAGTTCCCACACACCCACACACCCCCCTCCATCCGTGCACATGGTTTTCCCTATCGTTTACATCCTAGGGTGGTGCCATACATGTGTTGCAGTTAATGAATCAGTATTACTGTTAACTAAAATCTATACTTTATTCAAATTCCCTGGTGTTTACTTAGTGTCCTTTCTCTGTTGGAGGAGCCCATCCAATATACCACATTACACCTGTCTTCTCTCCTTAGGCTCCTCTCAGCTGTGATAGTTTCTGCGACCTTACTTGTTTTTGATGACCTTGACAGTTTTGACAAGTATTCATCCAGGTGTATTATAGGTTGCTCCTCTTGGAATTTGTCTTACTTTTTTCTACTGGTTAGACAGGGGTTGTAGGATCATATGGACTATGTTTAGCCTTGTAAAAACTGCCAAACTGTCTTTCCTAAGGGGTTATACCTTTTTGCATTACTGCTGGCAGTTTATGAGAGTTCTGTCTCTTTGCATACTTGTCAGATTTTGGTATAGTCAGTTTCTTGAACTTCAGCCAGTCTTACTGGTTTACAGAAATCGGGATGCAATTTCCATAGTTCATCATTTAGTCTTACTATCATATTTTACTGTATCTGGCTGTAGAAACATTAGCTTTCTCCTGATACTTCTTTTTAAATTAACATTAAAGAAAAGAACATGTACCTTTTCCCATATGAATAAGTGTTACAGATGTTTAAATGGCATTTCACTTATTACATTAAAATGCAATTACTTACTCTCTTTGCTTTATCACTAATAGCCTATAAGCTACATACTGTTGGTGTTGTGTTCTGTTGATGTTAATGTCTCATGTTTAATTGCTTTTGTTTAATTTTTTTAATTCTTATTTTCCGTTCTTCAAAGTCATTATTGCTTTTTTGTTTGTGTTTCTTTGTTCATAAAAGCTTTTTTGTTTCTATTACATTATGTAGTTTTGTACCAATGGCTAGAAGCAGATCGTCATGGCAAGAGCCAAGATGCTGCAAATACGACTTCAGGTAAAAATAAAAAGTTGAGGTATTAGAAGTTATTATTTTAATTCACCCCAAGCCCATCATAATTGTTTCATTATTCAGTTTTGCTTAGGCAAAAAAAAGTGTTATTTTGTATTTCTGTTCTCTTATTTATGTCTTAATTTTTGTAAAGATCTCATTTGCTTCAAGCCTTGAAGAAATTAATTCATTAGTCTTTAAGCTCTCTTGGCAGATATGTTCTATTTTCTTAGGAGGAAAGGCTCAATTGTAGTTTAAGTTTAGTAGGAGGTTATTTGACAATATTACGTGAAATTAAGTCTACTTGTAGTTGTTGCAGGGATATTAATAATTGCACAAATTTATATTCCTTGTTTATTTCAGGATAGTGTTTGAAAGGTGGATTTTAGGTTAATTAAAGCATCCTTATGTAACTTCCATTTCCTGGGAATCCAGATTCTTAGACTGGTTCATTTTTCCTGCTAAGTCCTAACAGTAAATTCTAAGTTAGAGGTTTATGGGTTCAGAATGCAAAAGTTAGGTTGTTCCTCTTTCTCACATCTCCAAAAGTCATCTCCACGATTCTTTTCTTTGACTGATATTAGTAGAGGAATACCTGCATTCACTCACTTCTAAATCCCTAACAGTGTTATCAGAATTTCCAGTCAGCTTGTCTCCAAATTTTCTTCAAAATAATATTTGCCAAGACAGCTGTAAATATAGCAATGATCTTCCCCCCTTTTAGAGCAGTCTAATAAGAAGTGGTGCTGGTGGTGGTGCTGGTGGTGGTGGTTCTGTTTTTCTTTTGTTAGATTTGTGTTTCTGTTTCCTGGGGCTTTGTTTTTGTGAAATTCTTTTTCTCTCGAGGTGGTTTCTCTTTCTTCTGGTTGATTCATTGTTCCTCGAGGGTGTGGTGTTTCTTAGTTAACAGGACAGTTATATTGAAAATAGCAGTGTCATGACTTTTTCTGATTTATTTCCTGTCACATTAATAACTTGATATATGAATGAAGATAAAGTTACTATTTTAACCAAACTCAGGCAGGAATTCATTAAAAGGTAAGTGTTGCAAGGATTTATATCCTCATTATATGCTGTTTCTTCTGCCCTTGCAGTATTTCATCTTTTATTTACATTTGTGAATGATAAAATAAGCATTTTTGGTATGTGAGGGCAGGTAAAGGAGAGGGTTTCTTGATGGCTAAGTATTATCTAAGGTGAGATTATCCTTTTGCTATGTCACTGGCATAGTCAGCAGCATAAACCTTAGAACCAGGAGAGAATTTTAGTTTTGCTTTTTCTCTTACTTAAACTGAAGTGAAATGTAACCTTTTTTAATGAAGAAGTAAATAATCTAAAAATTCTTAGTGTTTGCCTAAGAATTTAGTACCAGCTTAAAGATACCATTTACTCTTTCTGAAATCAGCCGTGAACCCTGACTCGTTTCTTTGGACATAGTGACTCTTGAATGGCTTCACATTTTTCCACTGAGTTTTCCCATGTTCACATACCCTAGAAGCATGGTGCAGCAATTGATAAACTTTCACTGGGGACACCTTTGACAGTTTCTCTTCTAGAAGTGAAAGCTCTTTACTCTGTCACTTAGAAGATGAAAATATGAGGTAGAAAGAGAGATGGAGTGCTTGCCTAAATAACTAAAAGAAATCCAAAGGAAAAAGATTGTTAGCCAAGGGCCTAAAATAGAAGTAATAGGTTAGTTGTTGCAGCAAATCTGTATAAATTATGGGCCTTTATTCAAAAACACCCCTGTGTGTTTTATATTGCATTCTCCAACAAAATTTTAAAGTGTGACTTTTCCCTCCATCTGAGATCTGTTAAGTTTCACACTGAAAGGTGTTTTAGTATTCATCATTTAGATTTTTACGAGATGGAAACTGAATCTAACTAGGTGTCCACATGTGACTCATGAATTGCTTTATGATATTTTTGCTTGTACAAATACTTGTAAATAGCATTAATCTTTGGATATATCAGCTTGTGTTTTGTAATTAGAACCTAAAAAGTAGAAAAAACACAGGAGACAGATGGTATTGCTCCCAAGGTCTTTCTAATTCCTTAATCTCAACTTTTTGACACTGAGAATTTAAGATCCATCCATATTAAAATATTTTATGAAACTAAGGCATTTGGGGGTAGCAGGTCTCATGGAAGTTAATTTGGTTAAGGACTTTAAAGAACTGAGCTGACAGCTTTTCTGAATTTTGTTATATGTAGTGATCAAAGCGTAGCCTTTTACCTTTTCAGGATTTTAACATGTGATGAATTTGGCTTAGAATAGCTTCTTTTTAGAGGTTAGTGTTCTTTAATGTGTCCTGTTTACTAAACCAGATAACTCAGTAATGATGTTTCTGATTCTATTAATTCTTGTAAAAGCATGGAGAAGCAGTCGCATTTATCAGAGGATTTTGTGGAAACTCAAGCAAACTTACCTCCTTTGGGCACTGCACTGTTAAGTTTATCTATATACAAAATTTCAGAATCTTAATTACAATTAGTTTATTTTGAGATGTTTCTTTAGTGAGTTAAATGTTTCCAAATAGGAATTTTTTTTTTTTTTGCCATCATGTGTTGAAATGAGGACAGTAATTAGGTCACAGCAAGGATTATTTTAGCATATCTTGATTTTTAGTATCAGTTGTCTAGCCAGGATTTTAAAATTTGTATTCTGAAGTTTTAAATGCACATCCCTTATTAAAAGTTCCTTTTTAGTTGTCCTTGGAAAAATTTACAAGCCAGACTATTAGAGGTAGAAATTGAATCAGATTTCAACATTATCACTCAGTGTATCTACAAAATAAAAATAAAATTACGACATGCTTTTGAAAAAATTCTAGATATTAACTAATTATTAATTATCTGTTGTAGGTGAAAATTTTGACCAGAGTCCTTTGAGAAGAACATTCAAATCCAAAGTTCTGGCCCACTATCCTCAGAATATAGAATGGAATCCTTTTGATCAAGATGCAGTAAACATGGTATGTGGGTTTTTTTCTCCTCTTGAGCCTTCTTTTTATTTTACTAATATGTCAGTTGTCACTATATTTTGAATTTATACGTTATTTCATTTAATTTAGCCCTTTAAATAAAAAAAAATTTTTTTAATGGTATTATCCTCATTTTACAGATTTGGAAAATGAAGCTCAGAGAAGTTAAGTAACTTGCCTATGATCCCCACAGCTAATTAGTACATACAACAGACCTTCAGCATCCCGTTTTCTTTTCCTGCCATTAAGCTGTGTGGTGAATTTGCATTAATTAATACATAGATGCTGTGATAATAGTTTGTTTCCTGGAGAGGAGCCTGATGGAAGGTGCATGATTACAGTTTTTCTGTTTCCAGGAATGTTATATGATGGGTCTGTAATTTATCATGTTCACAAAGTAAGGTAGGAAAGGAACTTAAGTGCTTCATTTAGACATTAGTAGGAATTTATTTTATAAGGAATTTAAAATAATGTAATGAGTTACCAGTGGTGATTGTAAGTCCCATTAGAGGTTCTTAAAAATTTAGTCAGTCGTAATTTTCAGGTCAGTTAGGAACAGTTCTTCCTAGAAGTCTGGAAAATATTTTGTACCTCCATGAACTCTACAATTATAAAAGTCAGGGGGCCCCAAAGTGAGCAAATCCGAGATCAGGCACCATAGGCACAAAAATGATTAAAGGTGGACTAAGACACATAGATGTGGTTCTTTTTGAGTATTTTAAAGGTGGAACCAAAAGATCCCATTATGATGTGATACTGTAAGGGAAGAAAATATTTAGTAGATATCTGTTAGGTCCCTTATATGTTACTTTCACATACGTGCTCACATGTACCCAGTGAGGAGGATTGTTCATATTTCACAGAGATGAAGTTAGTTGCCCAGAGTTGTACAGGGAGTCTCAGAGATGGAGTCCAGATGATTTGTGCTCTGCATGCTGCTTCCCCCAAAGAAAAGCTGTATATTTTTAGTAACTTGGTTTTCACCTGCTCTCAGTGATACATTTCTATCAGAGTAAACCCATTCCAGTCTGATGTTACTCCAAGAAGGGAATATCATGGTGCCTTTTCTAAGGACAGATGACTAAGGTACATGGTACTTCGACTTTGATTCTTTCCAGAGCATGGTATAGTTACTTGTCTAAACTGTTGCCCTATTCCAGAGTAACAGGAGATGTCACTTTGCTAGAAGTTAATACTGTAGGGCCTAGCCTCATCTTTGGTGAAGATAGCACTGTACATATTAAGTAGAATACAACTGTTAGTCATACTTATGAGACTTGAAGAAGTGCAGACAAGCTTCTTACTAAAATAGTCAGCAAACAGCAATGACAAAAAATAAATTCTCAGCTGCTTATGCCAGAAAATTAATGGAAATATATTAATGATATAAAAGAGTACCTAAATGAAACAATGGAAAAATGGATGAGAATGTAAATAGATTATAACACTAATCCTCTTAAATTGGTAATATGTTTCAAAGTATTTATAAATTATTCTGTGAGAAGTCAGAATGGTGCCCAAAACTAGATTCTTATTATCATATGAATCCACAGTCATTTTGAACAAAATGCCACACTTGATGTGTTTTATTAATCATTTGGATGTCTTAATAGTAAGATATCTGTGTTAACCTTTGCCTCTGTCTAGCATTTATCTTTTGGAGAAGGAAATGGCAACCCACTCCAGTACTCTTGCCTGGAAAGTCCCATGGACGGAGGAGCCTGGTAGGCTACAGACCATGGGATTGCAAAGAGTTGGACACGACTGAGCGACTTCACTTTCACTTTCATGCACTGGAGAAGGAAATGCAACTGGAAAATGCAACTAGGCTAGGCAACCCACTCCAGTGTTCTTACCTGGAGAATCCCAGGGATGGGGGAGGCTGGTGGACTGCCGCCTATCGGGTCACACAGAGTCGGACACGACTGAAGCGACTTAGCAGCAGCAGCATTTATCTTTAAAGTCTGCTTCCTTGACTGTCTTTAATGTTTTCTTTACCTCTTGTCTCTGAGTTATTTTATGTAAATAGGAAACATTTCCCTCTGAAGAATAGACTCGTAGGCTTGTGTTTTGATGCTTAAACACAGTACAGCATTTTGTTTATTGCTGCATATCTAAAAGGATTTGCTAATACTCCTTGAAAATCTCTGTAAAGCATTCCATTAAACTAATCTGCATTTGCGTCATAGATTTACTGCCCTTAATTTCCTCTGATTTATTAGTAAGTGTATTTGTATGAAGCTATAATTTATTCCCACCTAAAGGTAGAAAGCTTTGTTCTTAGCTTTAGCAAACCCCTACTCCAGTAAGTTACTGCCTTCTATAATATCACTCATTCTGCTAACAAAGTGGAGCTTTGAATAAAAATCATTAATTTCATACAAATTAAGTCCCCAAAAGCAATGAAATTTGTTAAACAAAAGAACCAAAAAAATCCATGTATATGAGTGCAGTGCATATGTAACAGAAAATAGGTACGTGACATTTGAAATTTTCTGAATTAATTGCTTTTCTATCTCTTTTGGTTGTGGATTCACAGATTTTTGTGGGGAAAAAAACAGAAATATCATAAAACAGAGAGAGCAAAACAATCATATACCCACCACCCAGAAATAACAGATGTCAACATTTGACAAATTTGCTTCAGATCCATACCTTTCCTCTTAAATGAAACAAAGCAATGCAAATGGAACTGAAGTTCCCCGCCCCCTCACCCCTCCATTTCACATCTCCTAATGAAATGGATATGGAGGCCTGGAGTGCTGCGATTCATGGGGTCGCAGAGTCAGACACAACTGAGCGACTGAACTGAACTGAATGAAATCTGTGTATTAGTGTTTGTGACTGACTGTATATGTAATGTTCTAGTAGATAGAGCTTATCCTTAAGAATGTAGTGAACCTAGGAATGGTTAGGAAGAAAATGTGGTCAGTACCTTTTTGAGCATGTTCTGTGAAATATAAAGATTCCATTTTGTGTATATGTCCTGTAAATAAAACATCTGATATATAAATTTTGAGGTAATTGAAGAGTAATAACTATTATATAGCTCTTTATAAAGCTCAATTTACTGTTTACTTTGATCCCAAAGAAGAGTGGAATGGAATGATGAGTAAAGAGTAAAGGATACATTGTAACTGGCCCCTTGCTGCCTGTCTTTTTCATTCTCCATACTACAGCTTCTGTTTCTGCTTTCCTTTCTCTCTGGAAGGCTCTTCTACTTCTTCCTCTAGTGAATTCTTCATATTGACATTTCAGATTTCATTTTATTTTATTATTATTATTATTATTTTTTGCTTTATTTATTTGGCTGCACTGGGTCTTAGTTGCAGCATATGGGATCTAGTTTCTTGACCAGGGATTGAACCCAGACCCCCTGCATTGGGAGTGCAGAGTCTTAGCCACTGGACCACCAGGGAAGTCCCTCAGATTTCATTTTAAACGTGATTCCCTCAGAGAAGCCATCCTTGACCACCACCTTCCACCACCCTTCCAACATTTAGCCAGGTTCCCTTAAGTTCTCTTGGCACCTTATACCTTTTTATAGCACCATTGCAGTTACAATTAATTAACTGTATAGCTGGTTGTCCTACTCCTTGTCCCCTGCTATAAAGTAAGAACCACTAGGCCAGGAACACACACTTACTCATTGTGATGAGTGGCTCAGAGTTAAAGAATTCGCCTGCTTAGCAGGAAATGCAGGTTTGATCCCTGGATCTGGAAGATCCCTTGGAGAAGGAAACACAACCCCCTCCAGTATTCTTGCCTGGAAAATTCAATGGGCAGAGGAGTCTGGCGGTCTACAGTCCATGGCCTTGCAAACAGTCAAACACTACTTAGCAACTAGACCACTGTATCCTTAGCTTTGCACATAGTTGAGGTTCAGATGATTAAATAAATGAAGGACTATATGCTCACTTACAGAACTTCGCTTCCCCATCTTTGATCAGGTATCACCTCCATTGCAAAACTCTCTCTTAAGCAGAATAGTTAAGTGCTCTGTCTTCTCTGTTCCTGAAACACATTGAATACACTCTGTAGCAATAGGGATCACATTATTTTGTAATTGTTGGTTTATATGTCTCTCTTTCCTATTAGAATGTAAGCTCCCAGAAGTAAAGAATTATTTTCATATTTGTCTTCTGAGCTATCAAGATCTAATGCAATATATGACATAAAGTAAATGTTTATTAAATGAAGAAGGGAAAGAGAAGGAAAGAAGGAACGGAAAACTGACTGACTCATTAAGAGTTTTCTGAATAGCTTTTATTTGTTGTATAAGAGAAAAGGAATGGGATTAATAGAACCATAGAAAATGGGAGAAAAAACTGTTATAGATCTAGCCACACTGACTAAAAGAGTCCAGAGAGATAATAAGGATATTTGGTCACTCAAACCAGGAAAGGTACACAGCATTGTGAGCCTACTGTGGCTTGAGTAATCTAGCCGGTGACAATCTGGTTAAGTTTTTTAGTTGTGAGAGTTGGGTGGGGAAAGGATATTGTTAGTAAACATCAGTATTAGAGGATAAAAGATATTGATTGTCATGGTGAGCAAATCTTAATTTATAGCTTAGAATTATGAAAAATAAACAAGTCATATGATTCTCACTTTTAAAAATGATAAAGCAATAGCATTTTCCAACTGTGGTTCCCAGATTAGAAATATAATTCTTACTTTTTTTATTTGTAGGAGAGTTTAAGAGTCCTTAACCCTGTTATCTGTAGCATAGAAAGTCATTTTTTACTTTGGGCACAACTTTTGCCAAGCTTTTCCTGTAAATGTTTGAATGCATGCTAAAGAAAGCCATAGACCCTTAAGGGAATATTTGGCAGCTCTTCAAAAACAGTTTAAGCTTGAATTTAATGGTTTATGATGTCAGGAAAGCCTGACAATTAAGTCTTTTTGTTGACTTTGGAGGTCACTGTGTTTCTGTATTGCCTACTTGATGTATAAAGAGAACCATGGACTAAATGAAGAGATGAACTAAATCTGATCTTGTACCCTGAGCTGTTGTTTTTGATTGTTTTGTTGTTCATTGATTTATTCATTCATTTAAAAGATACTTATGTATGCTGTGCACTATGCTATGCAGGATTGAGCTTAGCCTGAGGCAAGACTGATTCAGATCATCCTTCCTGTAACCTTTATTGACTCTAGTAAATGTGTCAGATGAATTTTCATTCATAATCAGTAGAGGATCTCATTGACTTGTTATAATGAAAGCAACCTTAATCTAAAGGCCTAATTATGAAAATATCCTGCCATGGCCTTTTTTTCCAAGATTAGGAATAAGCAAAATTTCCCCCCAACAAATCCAGATATTCATGTGTTTTATCTAAATCTGTATCTTATTCTGCCCAAATATACGCAGTAATTTAATTTTTGTCAACATACATATATAATAATGATTAAAGCTACTATAGCTGTTTCCAATTCTCATGTTCAGTGATGTGAAATATAAAAACATTTTCACTGAGATATTTATGCTGAGCTTCACAGTTTTTGCTTTTTACCTTTATCAGTCACCATTTATTATGGCCCAAATACTACATTGTTCCATGTGTGGTACTCTTAAATGGTTAGAGCTATTACCAGTCCTTGAGTAGTTTTTCAGTCTAGAGATGAAACAAAATTAGAGAAACAACTGATGTGTGTCATACATATGCAATGTACATATATATACTGTGGTACAAGGCTTTAACTGCTTCATTCAGTAAAAGCTTTTTAGAGGAGAAGTGACATATTAATGGCATTTATGGGATGAAAATACTATTTTTTTATGGAAAGAAAAATTAAGGCCTCTTTAAGGTAGTTATATGGAGACTTACAGGAAGTAAGGAAGTGTTTTGGTTATCTATAGCTGTGCACCAAACCATCTCAGTGTTACTTAAGTGACTTAAAACATAGACTTGCAGTTTTTTTTTCCCCACACAAAGGGCCAGATAGTAAATAGCTGAGTGTTGTGGGCCGTGCAATCTTTTTCACTGTGATTCAGCTCTATTGTTGTAGTGCAAAAGCAGTTAGACAGTGCTTAAATGAAGGAGTGCCAATAAGATTGTGTACCAATAAGATTTTATTTTCAAAGGCATGTGGCAGATTGGATTTGACCTAAAGGCTGTAGTCTCTTCATTTAAAACAACAAAGCCATCATTCTGCTTACAGAACTGCAGTTTGGGTAGGGTTTGGCAGAGTGGCCCTCCTCTTTCTAGCGGGTGTCAGTTAGAGTGGATTGAAGGCAGAGGACTAGGATGGTCTGAAGGCCCACAGCAGAGTAGGTGAGCTGAAGAGCAGTGGAGGGTGGAGCAAGAGCTGCTGGGGCCGAGTCATGTAGGGCCTCACAGGGGCCTTGTAGTATGAAGATTTCACCTTCTAACAAAATGAGAGACCATTGGAGGGTTTTGAATAGTGGCAAGATCGAACATATTTTTTTCAAGAATCACTTTGGCTGCTATATGAGGAGCAGGTTATTGAGGACAAGGACAAGGAGATGGGTTAACAGGCTATTATATTAAATAGTCATCCAGATGAGAGAAGAGTATGGCTTAGATTAGAGTAGTAAGAGTAATGATGGAAGTAATTTGTTCCTGAATATATTTTTGAAGGTAGAACTGGTCTTTTTTGATGGATTGGGTAACGGAGTGAGCGAGAAAGGAGTCAAGGGTGACCCAAGGCTCTGAGCATTCCTGCTGCCTCCTTAGAACCTCTGGGGAAGCCACCGCCCTCACATGCCAGAAGGTTGATGTGCTCAGCAGCACTCTGTTTCTGTCCCTGTCCTGCCGAAAACCCTCCAGAGGTTTCTCATCCCCCTCCTCAGACTTCTGCTGTGACTCTCCAAGGCCCTTTGGGGTTCAGTATCTCCTGCAGTCACTCTCCCCTCCCCGCACCTTCCATTCTGCTCCCCACCCACAGTGAACCTCACGTTCTGTCTTCTGGGCTTTTGCCCGTGCCCTCTCTACCTTCATTTCATCTCGTTAACACCTGTACTTATCCTCAGGTCTCCACTTGGGCTTCCTTCATTTTTTCCCCTGGTCATTTGTTATTTTTAGTCACTAAGTCATGTCCACCTTACCTACCTCGTGAGAAACCTGTATGCAGGTCAAGAAGCCACAGTTAGAACTGGACATGGAACAGCAGACTGGTTCCAAATTGGGAAAGGAGTACATCAAGGCTGTATATTGTCACCCTACTTATTTAACTTACATGCAGAGTACATCATGCAAAATGCTGGGCTGGATGAAGCACAAGCTAGAATCAAGATTACCAGGAGAAATATCAATAACCTTAGATATGCAGATGACACCACCCTTATGGCAGAAAGTGAAGAGGAACTAAAGAGCCTCTTGATGAAAGTGAAAGAGGAGAGTGAAAAAGTTGCCTTAAAACTCAGCATTCAGAAAACTAAGATCATGGCATCCGGTCCCATCACTTCATGGCAAATAGATGGGGAAACAGTGGAAACTGTGAGAGACTTTATCTTTTTGGGCTCCAAATTCACTGTAGATGGTGACTGCAGCCATGAAATTAAAAGATGCTTATTCCTTGGAAGAAAAGCTATGACCAACCTAGACAGCATATTAAAAAGCAGAGACATTACTTTGTTGACAAAGGTCCATCTAGTCAAAGTTATGGTTTTTCCAGTAGTCATATATAGATGTGAGAGTTGGGCTATAAAGAAAGCTGAGCACCGAAGAATTGATGCTTTAGTACTGTGGTGTTGGAGAAGACTCTTAAGAGTCACTTGCACTGCAAGGAGATCCAACCAGTCCATCCTAAAGGAAATCAGTCCTGAATGTTCATTGGAAGGACTGATGCTCAAGCTTTGGCCACCTGATGCGAAGAACTGACTCATTGGAAAAGACCCTGATGCTGGCAAGGATTGAAGGCAGGAGGAGAAGGGGACGACAGAGGATGAGATGACTGGATGGCATTACTGACTTGATGGACATGAGTTTGCACAAGCTCCAGGAGTTGGTGATAGACAGAGAGGCCTGGTGTGCTGCAGTCCATGGGGAGTCAGACACGACTGAGCGACTGAACTGAACAGAACTGAAGTCATGTCTGACTCTTCTGCAGTCCCATGGACTGTAGCCCACAAATGCTCCTCTGTCCATGACATTTCCCAGGCAAGAATACTGGAGTGGATTACCATTTCCTTCTCCAGGGGATCTTCCTGACCCAGGGATAGGACCTCTGTCTCCTGCGCTGACAGGCGGATTTTTTATCACTGAGCCACCAGGAAAGTGCCTTTTAAGCCATGGTACCTCCCTCTTTTCTCATTTATGTCTTCCTACTGTGTTTTTCCTAGCAGCCTATATTTATCCTGTCACAGCACTTCCCATAGTTTGTAGTTTATATATATTTTTAATAGTCTGTTATCCTTATTGCACTGGAAACTCCAGGGGAGCAGAAACTGTATTTCTCACCGTTGTATCACTACCATAGGGCCTAGCTCAGAAGGGTGGTTAATAAGTGTTTGTTCACAGTTTGAATGAAAGTCATAACTCTTAAGGGAATTAAATTTTTTGGTAATGTGGAGATTTGGGAGAACTTCTAAATTTTATACCAGATTGATTATTAAATCTGAAATAAAAGAAAAAAAGTCATAATATGTGGTAAAATTATTCCTATGCAGAAAGCATATTGTAATACAAAAGTAGAAAGGAATAATAGAAAAATTAATAATGATAATTATTTTAGGATAGTTAAAGAACAATTCTGTTTTCCTTAGTATATTTCAAATTTTCTATAATTTTTCTTGTTTAAAATGTTTTAGACTCAATTCTAATTTTTTATGCTTTATAAAGTATCTTAAATATAGCATCTTTAAGTTTTCAGGTAATTTTATTCTCAAATTTGACTCAATCCTGGGTGGTTCCCAAGACCTGGGGCAGAATCTCTGCTGGAAGTAATCTGAAGTGTTTTGGCTCTACCCTTCTCCTTCAGTAAATCAATCCGTTTTCAACATTTATTTTTCTAAGGACAAAGTATTATATTGTTCAAAAGAGCAAAAATTATACTTTTGTTTTTATTATTCTGTATTTAACTCTTTCCCATTTATCAAATGAACCTTCATCTGTTTCTGTATTCCTCTGAAACATTATCGACTTTACTCTAAAAATAGTCCTTTAATATTAAATATTTGTAAAGTGTCCTTGCATATTTTGTCTTAAAGTCACTGATGCCGCAAATGTCATAAATAAAGAAACTAAGGCTCAGAGAGGTTACATGACTTAATGAAGGTCATAAGCTCAGATAGAACTTCACAACCATTTTTCTCTGGTTTGAATTTGTTCATATACTGCCTTCTGATGCTTTTCTTCTCCTTCCTCCACAGTTGTGCATGCCTAAAGGGCTGTCTTTCAGAACACAAACTGACAACAAAGACCCTCAGTTCCACTCATTTATAATTACCCGGGAAGATGGTTCTCGTACCTACGGTTTTGTTCTCACTTTTTATGAAGAAGTTACAAGTAAACAAATCTGCACAGCAATGCAGACACTGTACCAGATGCACAATGCAGAGCATTACAGCAGTGTGTACGCTTCATCCTCCTGCAGCATGGATTCACTGGCAAGCAGTATTGATGAGGGAGACACAACTTCCCTTTTGAAACTCCAGCGATACAACTCCTATGACATCAGCAGAGACACCCTGTATGTTTCAAAAAGTATATGTTTGATCACACCACTGCCTTTCATGCAGGCCTGCAAGAAATTCCTCATCCAACTTTACAAGGCAGTTACCTCACAGCAGCCACCACCTTTGCCTCTTGAGAGCTACATCCATAATATTCTCTATGAGGTGCCCCTTCCACCTCCAGGGAGATCACTGAAGTTTTATGGTGTTTATGAACCTGTCATCTGCCAGAGGCCGGGGCTCAGTGAGCTCCCCCTCTCCGATTACCCTCTCCGAGAGGTCTTCGAGCTCCTGGGCCTGGAGAACCTGGTGCAGGTGTTTACCTGTGTTCTTTTAGAGATGCAGATCCTTCTCTATTCACAAGGTAGGTCTGCCCTAAATTTTAGGTCTCCCAAAACCAAGTACTTATGCTCTCAGCTACTGGGGTGTATTATTAGGGCCAAATAATTGATAGTCAGTAGTCTTTTCTGTCTTGTGTAAAAGGAGAGGGTTTTAGGTAGGACCAGATGCCGAGGTTACTTCTATTTTAGGTGACAATGGCTGTAGAGAAAAAAAGGGGGGAAGAAATATAAAAGCATTAGCTTGGCTGACTTGCATATATTAATTTTTTTAATGGAAGTAACCCTTTTTTCCTGATAATACATATTCATTGTAAAAGAAGCATATTTCTCTTTATAATAAAAGTGAGAGAATCCTCTTACTACCAAAACCATGTAGACTTCTCTTGTTTTTTTTTTTTACAGATTAGTAAAGGTTCCCATCAAAACTCAGCTGACATTGGAAAGGGACAGACAGAATTGTTAACTCTGAAGCTTCCTAGGTGATCACCTTTGGATTTTTGCCTATGGGTGATTTCATGGAGTGAGAGAATGGTACAGGCGTGTGAAACAGACACAATTCTCCTAGGTCTAACAGTTCCACCGAAGTTAGATGGAGTTTTTATGTTTTGTTTTTAATCCCAAAGGAAGCTGTCATTGTGATGCTTTTCATTCAAAATTCTCCCAAAACATACTTTAAAAACAAAACAGAATTTGGGTTTTATTTTACCAGTGCACCTGCGATGACTAATGTTGAGCCTAGACTAAAGCACTGGTTCTAGTCTGAACCTGAATTTGCAGAGGAGATAGAGAATAGAGATACTGTGTTTTTTGGATAGTGAATTGACAGATAATATAAAATAGTACCTGTGCATTGATGGTGTTTTGAAAAAATGTGGCACAAATATTTGGTTTAGCATTTTCCTAACTTGTATTTAGGCTGGCAGAACTGTAGTGCAGTCTTCTGACTGTTGCTGTCAAACTTATTTTACCAGTTTCCTTTTTTTCTTTTCTATTTTAAATTATAAATGAGGCTGAGCCAAGTAGGCTGTATTTGTACTTCCCCATCTTGTGTGTATGTTGACACTGTTTATGTGTTGACAGCCCTTCACGAGGTTGTATTTTCTTCAGTTTATCCCCATCATGTTCTCTGATAATGTGTTCCAATGTCTCAGTTTTTGTTGTCAGGAAATTCTTCTCTAATGACTAACTTAAATTCTTTCCTGTCCTCGTGCTCTCACTTTCTTAGTGCTGGTCATTACCTGCAGATCACCCTTTGGTATCCAAAATATTTAATGTTAAGTAATTCTCTCTTCTTTTCAATGTCTTCCTTTTTTCCCTGAAAGGATTGGGATTGGAGAGTTGCTTGGAGGGGCAGGGCTTGGAGCTTAATACTTTCAGGTTTATTAACTTATTAGTAAAAAGAATTTTAGATCCTAAATTTTCAAGAGATCTTCCCAATCAGTTAGTTCTATGTCCTGTTCTACCTAGAGAAGCAATTTGGTTTTTGAAGTGAAATTTTGAATATTGGTTTTTGAAGTGAAAACAATCATGGGTTCAAATCTCTGTTCTGTAACTTGCTAACTGAACCTTGGGCAAGATACATAATCTTCCTATGTGTAAATCAGTTCATCTTTATGGAGATAACAGGTTTTTTCTTTCCTCTCTCACTGATTTGTTCCGACAAAGTAAGAAATCTGTGCTGACTAAACGATAGCCAATGTTGTTGTAATTATTATCAGTTTTATCAGTCCTACCTAATCCTTTATAAATTATGCACATCTTAAGTTATGAGAATCTGACATATTCAGTTCAGTTCAGTTCAGTCGCTCAGTCATGTCTGACTCTTTGTGACCCCATGGACTGCAGCACGCCAGGCCTCCCTGTCCATCACCAACCCGTGGAGCTTTCTCAAACTCATGTCTATCGAGTCAGTGATGCCATTCAGCTAAATCATCCTCTGTCATCCCCTTCTCCTCCTGTCTTCAATCTTTCCCAGCGTCAGGGTCTTTTCCAGTGAGTCAGTTCTTCCCATCAGGTGGCCAAAGTATTGGAATTTCAGCTTGAGCATCAGTCCTTCCAGTGAATATTCAGGATTGATTTCCTTTAGGATGGACTAGTTGGATCTCCTTGCAGTCCAAGGGACTCTTTTTAAGAGTCTTCTCCAACACCACAGTTCAAAAGCATCAATTCTTCAGCGCTCAGCTTTCTTTATAGTCCCAACTATTACATCCTACATGACTACTGGAAAAACCATAGCTTTGTCTAGATAGATGGACCTTTGTTGGCAAAGTAATGTCTCTGCTTTTTAATGTCTCATATATTACTGCATTTAAACTGTTAAATTAAATAGTCCAGGCATTTGTTTCAGGGTTGAGAACTTAACAAACTTTCTCTTATACTGAAAGTCATGCTTTTTAAAGGGAAAAAACCCTTCATTATCACACTTCCTGTTTTAAATAGCACTGTATATCTTGGTGCTTTTGCACTGTCTTTCTGCTTTACTTTATTAGCTTATTCCATTTAGTTTATGGAGTCTGTTGAAAAGTTACAATTGATTAATATCTACACATTTATTTCAATTTCAAACTAAGAAGGCAGTATTTATGAGCATGTTTTTGTACTCAAATGAGTTTAGTTGGTTTTTTTTTTCTTTTTGAAACTTGGTCTTTGATGCTGAGAAGAAGAATGAATCCTGAGATTGCAGAATTCTACATATATATATTTTTAAAGTGTCATACAAAAAAAAACCTTACAATTTTCTAATTATTTACAGAAATCACTTTGTATTAGGAATTATATGTTAAAATGCCTTGTACATTTTTGTTTTTCCCCCAACACTTAATCCTCTCAATAGTGAGTTATTACTGCCCATGCTTTTACTGTAGGGGGAAATTAATGCTCAGGGAAGCTTAGTAACCTACCCAAAATCACATAGCTATTGGGTAATGTGGTAGAGCTGAGAATGGGCTGGGATCTGTCTTTCTCCAGAATTCTTACCCAATGTTAGCTGTATTGGACACTGCACTTAACCTCTCCTTATCTATCTCATTATTTTTTTTTTATTTTTTTATTTTTAAAATTTTTTGGCCACACTGCCCAGCATATGGGACCTTAGTTCCCCGATCAAGGATTGAACCCATGCCTCCTACAGTGGGAACTTGGGAGTCTTAACTACTGGACCGCCAGAGAAGTCCCCGTGTCTCAATATTTATTTTTAAATTATAAACTCACCTCTGAGGGTCTTTTGTGAAGGTTCCATATTAAATAATTGTAGATTATGTGTGTAAGTGCACACCTTAACAGCAGGAGACCCCAGTTCAATTCGTGGGTGGGGAAGATCCGCTGGAGACGGGAGAGGCTGCCCACTCCAGTATCCTTGGGCTTCCCTGGTGGCTCAGCTGGTGAAGAATCCGCCTAAGTGTGGGAGAGCTGGGTGCAATTGTTAGGTTGGGAAGATCCCCTGGAGAAGGGAAAGGCTACCCACCCCAGTATTCTGGCCTGGAGAATTTTATGGACTGTATAGTTCATAAGGTTGCAAAGAGTCGGACATGACTGAGCAACTTTTACTTAACTTCTCCCATTACAGAAAGAAAGGAATGAACTAAGAGTTGTTGGGTTGATCTGTACTCTGGTGCCCTTTTTTCATTTCTCCTGACTGTGTTTAGAGTTTTTAATATATCTGATCATTTCTTGTTCACTGATGTCATAAAATTATAAAACATTGCAAATGTTGAACAATTACCATGAAAACCCAAAGTGAATAAAAGTATAGATGGATTTCAGTGATGAAGATGTCTTTCTAGACTGATTTGAAATTCTTGTCCACAGCCCATATAAATCTATCCAGTCTGTTGTTTCGAAAGTGTGTAAATCACAGTCACTTTGCAGTGGTAACTAGCTAGACTTTTTTTTTTTCATTTATTTTTATTAGTTGGAGGCTAATTACTTTACAGTATTGTAGTGGTTTTTGCCATACATTGACATGAATCAGTCATGGATTTACATGTGTTCCCCATCCAGAACCCCCCTCCCACCTCCCTCCCCATCCCATCCCTCTGGGTCATCCCAGTGCACCAGCCCCAAGCACTTGTCTCATGCATCCAACCTGGACTGGCGATCTGTTTCACACTTGATGATATACATGTTTCAATGCTATTCTCTTCAGATCATCCCACCCTCACCTTCTCCCAGAGAGTCCAAAAGTCTGTTCTGTACATCTGTGTCTCTTTTTCTGTCTTGCATATAGGGTTATCATTACCATCTTTCTAAATTCCATATATATGTGTTAGTATACTGTATTGGTGTTTATCTTTCTGGCCTACTTCACTCTGTATAATGGGCTCCAGTTTCATCCATCTCATTAGAACTGATTCAAATGTATTCTTTTTAATGGCTGAGTAATATTCCATGGTGTATATGTACCACAGCTTCCTTATCCATTCATCTGCTGATGGGCATCTAGGTTGCTTCCATGTCCTGGCTATTATATTATAAACAGTGCTGCGATGAACATTGGGATACACGTGTCTCTTTCAGTTCTGGTTTCCTCGGTGTGAATGCTGTAAGTGGGATTGCTGGGTCATATGGCAGTTCTATTTCCAGTTTTTTAAGGAATCTCCACACTGTTCTCCATAGTGGCTGTACTAGTTTGCATTCCCATCAACAGTGTAAGAGGGTTCCCTTTTCTCCACACCCTCTCCAGCATTTATTGCTTGTAGACTTTTGGATAGCAGCCATTCTGGCTGGTGTGTAATGGTACCTTATTGTGGTTTTGATTTGCATTTCTCTGATAATAAGTTGAGCATCTTTTCATGTGATTGTTACTGGCTAGACATTTTAAGCAGAGAAGGAATTCAAGAGGTGAAAACTCTTTTTTAGAACCCCAAATCAGAAAAGAGTACTTTTCTTTGAGGCCTAGAAATACTTGGAGCAAGACAGTGGGAAGATTGGAGTCTGATCATCTTTTCAAAGAAACAGTGGAAGAATAAAAAGAATTTAAACAGCAGGGTCTAACTTTTGATACCAGTAATTAAGGTCTCAGGAC